CACACACACACACACACACACACACACACACACACACACACACACACACACACACACACACACACGCACACACTATCTCAGTACTTAATTTAGATAAGAACCAAAGAAGTTACGTAGTTCATAATCTTCTACCGCTCCTCCTCCATCAGTTTTAGAGATATTGAAGTCAAATTTGGTGTGGTACTAGCTGTAGTTTACAAAATAAAATGTTATATATTTTTTTTAAATATTGGCAGGTGGAGCCGATGTGTCATTTCAGATTTTTAAACTCTTTCTTTCATTAACATTTTTCTGGTGTAAAATCCAGCTTTGTTTTAAATCAGCTCATCGGGGGGCTGCACCGAGCTCACCCATGAGCCGAATGTGGCCCCTGACCCGCCACTTGAATAACACATTACAAAACACCTTTGCCCAAAACTTTACTTTACTTTTTAATTCAGCGCTGTCTGTTAGCAAAACATCATGRATCACGATGGATTTTAATGCCACTTGCAGCTGATATCTGGACAAAAACCTTTTATTTTATTTTGAAAAGCTGTTTTTAGCTGATAGTCAGGAGCAGAGCACCGTCATGAGAGCCTCTCCTCTTTCTGGATGTATGGCCAACAGTCAGCTGGTGCTGCTGCCCTCTTGTGTGCCGTGTAATCCTCTGACATACGGAAGAAGATATTGTACAGGTGGAAGTGTGCACCATCAGGATCATGGAGCTCTAACTGCCTCCAGGAAGATGATTGGTGTGTGACAGAAAAATGCCTGYACGGCCATCAGAGAAGCTCCTGAGGTTTGAATGAGCCAACGATGGCTGTACTTCATGTTTCTGTTTATTTGCAGAGCAGAGAAATACTATGTGACTGCAGTTCAACCACTTTAATTAAAATTATCCTGCTTGATGTGTTATGAAGCAACAATGGTCTTCGCAGGGTCTTGRTGGGCTCTTCAGGCACGTATTAAGAATGCAGTGGACTCTTTATTATGAATGGCAGATCATGGAAGATCCACGATAGTTTTGAGCGTGCAGCAAGATTGCGGAGGTTTTATGATTGCAGTGGACCAGAGTCCTGGGTGGAGCGTGGGCCCCATGAGGACCAGTCTGACTTCGGTTAAGAGTTTGAAGCAGGCCAAGGCCACAACCCTGTCCCACCTGCACATTACTGTAGGCTGTGATCCTCTAGCACAGAGGAGCCCAAAGTGGGGCCCGCSGGCCAAATTTGGCCCGCCAAGCCATTTCATTCGTCCCACCAACWGTTGCCAAAGTTAAAAGGTTRTAACCTGTTATTCTATGTAGAAACACRGTATTTCCATTGGTCAAATGACTATTTAAAAGGGCTGTAGTGAAGGTAGTTTTCATTCATGCTGTTGACTTTAGCTTTGATTTATTAGGATTAAACATGAAACATGAAATGACAACAATAAATGTTTAGATCAGATTTAACCCCACGTGTAGATTTGCACACTTTATAAGGCCACAAAAACTCTTATTTTATCAATTTATGATATGTCCCATGAGCCTTTGCTACTTGAGACTATGGCAGACTTTATCCAAGTGCACAGACTTAAACAAAAGAGGGCCATTGCATAGCATAATCACTAAAAATAAAGGACTTTACTTAAAAAGTATTTGTATTTCATGTATTATACAGTATTACTGCATTTGGCCCACAGCCCTTTCATTTTGGCCCTCTCAGGGAAAATGTTTGGGCACCCCTGCTCTAGCATGTAGCTGCATCCTGATGGAGTCTGAGTCGTGCCACAGACTGGAGAGGGCGCAGGAGAACATCTCATGGAGAACAGTGACACAGAGAGAGCRTTAAAAGCATCATGATTACCTCCACGCTGAAGGTTTTCCAGATTCAGGCATGCTGGTGTGAAGATGCCACAGTGGTTTCAAATTCATTTTCACCAAAGACCTCGTGTGTTATGGTGGCCCTCAAAGGGCCAGTTGTTATTAGCTTCAATATTTCATGTTTAAATTCAACWGAACACAAAACACTGCATTCCTGGTCTCTTTGCTATGGCTGAGCACCGCTAATAAACAGTAACTGAGCTCTACCTGRTATTTCCTGCATAAAAACTGTGTTTTTACATGTTTTTCTATAAATCAGGGCTATTCAACTAAAYTGCTCCAGGGGCCACAGTTACTGTAGGCCAACAGCTCAGGGGCTGAACATCCAGCAAATAAAGTTATGTAAATAAACCAAGTATTACAAAGATCTGTTACCTTTGAAATAGTTTTTTAGCTGCATTTAATCATGAATACAACATACAGAACCCTATAAAAGTAGTGGTAATTAAACAATATAAAAAAAAACATTTTGTCTCCTATTTAACACAAWTATTTTGACATATCTGACTTGCCAAATTTTTAAACCACCAACATTTTCACTTTCATAGTTTTATCTTCAACTGCTTGTAGTTTTAATTGTCTTGGGTGTTCATATAATGGGTTTTTACCAGCTTCTAGCCAAGATTCTGACATTGCTGTAGATACCAAACATGTCTATGTTTAACTAAAAGAACTTAATTAAAGTAGCAAACAGGGGGTTTGGGCTGAAGGGATGAATGAACAAATTGGCGGGCCGTACTTTGGTCACTCATGGGCTGTAAGTTGAACAGCCCTACTATAAACCCTTAAAAAGTACTATGTGTATGACTGATTAAATGTGAAATAAATACCATTAAAAGTAAGACACTTTTACTCATTGAGTTGTGGTGAGTCTTGAACTCTCCCACTTTCCTACAGGGAATTCTCATGCACAATCAACATGCATCATGTAGTTTATGTTCAACGCTGGCTTTAAAACAGCTTATTTTGAGACATTAATGCAGGGCTGTTTAACTAAAATGTTCAGGGGTCCACGGTTAATCAAAACCAACAGCTCAGGGTCCAGACAAGCATTCACTTTTYAAATGTGTTTATTTTGTAGCATTGAATCAAAGTTTGCCATTGATATTGTGGTGGCACGATTTACCAAGAATGCAGAAACACGTTGGAATAAATGCACAGAAAGTCTGCGTGTATGGTCGTCAAATGGTTTAATTTGAGCAACAACAGAGCAGAAGTCAATCAGAGAAGTCTGTCAAGTTGTGGCTGGTGCGTCAGTGCAGAGCAGCCGATAAAATATCCTGTGACATGCTTACAACCAATCACAGTTCGCCAACTGTGAACCATCTAACCAATGACAGGGCTGTCAGCCCGGAAACACCTTATCAAAATAAAAGAGGTCATGCATTGCTGGAGTCTTTAAGTCTGGGCCGATAGATTAAAACAGCCGAAACTAGTTATCATRAGATATGATTACTGGACAGTGTCAAGGTAGAACAGATATACATAATTATTCCATAACATTATAGAAATTATTTTTGTATTAAATAAGTACGGTGACCTGCATTTGTCCCACTGTCCTTTAGTTTGACACTTGCCACAAACCAGCGAGTTTTATCCACACCTGAATCTAATGAGACGTGACACACTGCTCCTCTTTAATGTGYGTCTGATATCAGGTAGAAGACGTCACTTTATGGTGTTAAGAACCAGATCAACAACTCAGTGCTGCTAAATTGGTAGTAAAAGCTCATCTGGACAAGAGGAACATCGTTTTGTTGTGTGAATCCCACTGTTGTTTACCTATGTTTTATTTAATGATTACTGCTGCATCATTTAGGATACTTTTAGCTAGGCTTTTGTTATTTTCAGCTCATCTTTTGTAGCTTTTTGCTACTTCGACTTGTTTTGCTACTTTTGGCTTATAGTAGTAATCTATGTTCTATTTGAAGTTTCAGCTGCTGCAGCACTTTTCAGCCATTATTCAGCATGTTTTCATTGTAGCTTTATTACATGTAAAACTATTAGATTCTTGATATAAACTGTGCCTGCTCAGTTTTAAACGTTTGCAGTTCTATAAGCTGATTTTGACCCAATATATACAAAAAGCTCTGTCACAAATTCACTTTATCTTTTTTATAACAGAGATGTAAAGAAGCAGAAATGGTGATTTATCTTTTTTTTATTTGTGGCTACAACATTAAAACTGTAAATGGGGGCCTCTTGTGACATGAGTTCATGAACAAATTAAAATAAGACAGTTATCATTTCTGCCTCTTGGTTGTTGTTTTTTTTTTTCACGCTGCAGTTCTGTCCATCTTTCCTGCTGCTGCTGATGCTGCAGTTCATCCAACACCACACAGTTCATCACTTTTTCTGCCTCCGTCTGCAGACGCCTCCGTGACGAGTCCTCCAGCACATTTACATGGTTTATACACACACAACSCTTATTAACAAGTCAACGAAAAAAAGTGCTGTAAATTCATGCTACAGTGCTGTGCTAAATAAGAACGTACACGTTTTATTTAATTTACCTTAAGAGAATAAAAAAAATGAATTGCAAAGTTACCCAACCACTTCCTGCAGGCTATATTAATCTAGTAAAATGACTCTGATTCGTGATAATGTCCTAAATTACTGCACAAACTGCTGTTATTACGAGCAGCTAAATAAACKCTGATGCTACAGTTTGAAGTGTGTAAACATTAATCTCATACAACACAATCATTTACGTTTTACTCTATCTACATGGTACAGGTACTAAAGAGTATAAAACTGTGTTTCTGGTGAACGCTGACAAACAGTATGAGACTCGCTCTGATTAAGGCCCGATGATAACATGGTTCATAGCCTCACCCAACAGTAACGATGTGGAAAATAAATAAAGTGCCTGTTTTGTGTCGTTCAGATGAGGGTCGCTGTACACGGGTGGAGGTTTGGAACCGGCAGGTGTTCGTGGAGCTCAGAGCAGAGAGTTGGTGGGCATGCAGTCGCACAGAGCCCGCCTCTCAGCCCTCAGCACCAGCAGCTCTGTCTGCAAAACAACACAAAGACAAAAGGAAACAGGAAGTACAGATCACTGATGGATACTTCCACGCCCAATTTTAGCTGAGAAYCTGTGGAGAGGAAGAAAAGTTGCAGCTGTTTTTGTGTTAGCTGAAGCCACACTGGGCTGTTTGTTGGAGACTAAGTGGTGCGGTTTCATCGAGTTCTGAGTTGATGGGTGGGAGTCTATCTCATGATTCCATTCTGATTTTTTTGAGGCCATGATTAGATTCAAAATCGATTTTCGATTCAAAAGGATGTGATGTAAGTTGGTCTGCCTTCCCAWATCACTTCATCTTCATTTTGCAAACCTCACACAGGCAAACGAGTCCAAATCTTTGCCTTCGGTGAAGACGGAGCCAGATAAATCTTCTCTCCTGCCTCCATTTTTTTGTAGTTTCCTCTTCTTTTTTTTTTTCTTTTTTTTTTGGTGCTTTCCACGTATGTTCCAGGAGTGGCAATGTCAGGACGTCCCATGTAGTTACCAAATCTAACACAGCCAGCAGGTTAGTTTTATTTATTTTTAATCAGTTTTGCAACATTTTATATTGATTCTGAATTGTTGTAAATGAGAATCGTGCTTGACATGTAATTTATATATTTGTTTGTTTGTTTGGTGCACATCAGTTGGTGACCAAGTGTCTGAGTTTTAGTGGCTCATGCCTGAAAATCCCWAATTTATTTTTTGTATGCACAAATTGCAGAACTGGCTGTGTACCTCTGCCCACCTTGTGCTCACCTGGACAGCCTCCTCCACATTTCTGATTCCATCTACTGGAGAAAACTTTTAAAACTGAAGCTCAGATGAGACAGAGGGTTGTGTGCTTCAGGCTCGAGCACCTAGAGGCCTTGTCACGCTGCAATGTTTTAGACAATGTGTGAATAAATTACTCGTATAGGTTATACATTTGATCTAATCATTAGCATTACAGTRTGTGTAAAAGAGGCTTGAAGTATTTTTTTTATTCTGTCTTAAGTGTAGAAAACACATCTTCAATGTTGGACAAAATTTTCACAAGTTGTCTAAAATGTAATATAAATGTTATATGTTTAATCTGGATGGGATTAGTTTCACTTCAGGGACTAACATGACAACTTGCCATTATTTTGGATCAGATTTCGCTGACTCAGTCATTTGTGAATGTTTCCAGAGAATCTACAGTAACTTTATCGAGAAAACCCACACAAGCACGAGGAGAGCTTGCAAACTCCACACAGAAAGACTCCAGGTCTGAACTGTGGATCAAACCCAGGATCTACTTGCTGTGATGCATCAGTGCTAACCACTGATCCACTGTGCTGCTAAACTAATTATTCCTCCAGAATTTGCCTTTTTAGGTAACTTAATCAGCTGACGTAAAACTGAGTCTTCTGTAGGAAGATGGAACACAAACATAGGGAAACCCAGACAGAAAGTGTCCACCCTCAGCATCTGAACACTGCTTCACTGACCCTGGCGTCAAGGTTGAAAGCCGTCTTCTTCAGGTCTTGCAGCGCCCTCTGCATGAACTCAAAGGCATGGCAGTCCACACATGGACGACCTGGAGACGGTTCAGAAAGGGACAGGTCTGGTTAGGATGTGTCACAGATGGTCGTAGCAAACTGTCTGTGACTCTCTGATAGCAAAGGATAAAATGTTTATGAAAGCAGGCCTAATGTGATGTGAGTCAGTTAGGATAATATTAATAAACATTATGACAGAAGCTCCAGAAAAGACTAGCAAATWGAATTAAGTCCTTAATTTGTTTTTAGGAAGGACACTGATAAACCATATTGCACAAATCAAGTGTCTAATAAATAAAAACTGCACACAATAAAAAAACTGCATAAAGTTCAAAAATGAAAAATGTTAATTAAAGCTAATGCAAATAAAAAACACGATGTAATAAGRAWTGCWTATAGATAATTAATCAGTTAGATAGAAATAGAGCTATGTTATAATGGCATCTCACTGTTAAAATCTGTTATAGATTATAAAATAATGTATTTGAGATTAGTAAAATTATTTATGGAATTCTTAAATCTATTTTAAAGATTTTTTGTTAGATTTTTTTAAATTTGACATACAAAAGGTAAATAAGCTTTGATTTCAGACGCATTTTTTCCAAATGTTTATTTTATTTCATGGATGCAATTAATATTTTTAATTTATGTAACTCTTTTATTTAAAATGCATAGCAGGAAGGAAGAATCTTTAACAAATATAAACAGATTTTTTTCTTACATTCTGTAGTTAAAGCTAATAAATAAAATGTTTAAAAAAAGAGCCCTGAGTCACATTTGATGACCYATAAATGCTGTAGGGTCGACATATGTTTTCTGACCATTGTTTTTTCCATATGATGTGTTTGTTTTCTGTGAGCCCAGGTGTTGCTGGAGGATCCACCTACTTTCTGCAGGGATCACGGTCCCGGTCTCCTGCTCAGCCTCAGCGGCACCGACACAGACGAGCTGCACCGCCAGAAGGACCACCGCCGCCTGAACGACAAACCCACTGCTGGACGCCATGATGGCGACGAGGCTCCCCTTTAACCAACACAACCAAAAAAACATCCTCTTAGTTTTAACACACAATTATCTGTGCCACCGTCAGCCGAGAAAAACGAGACTGTAGCGAGTTTTTCCAATGAAATATTACATTTATCTGCGCTAAACACGGGTGATTATATAAACGCAGTCTATACAGAAGAATATTTCACATTTATATTTGATAATGTAGATTTTGTTACCGTCAATCAGCCGATTTGCACCAGATCGCCCTTAAATTACAACAGCGAGCTGTTTTATTAGAGCAACCAMAGTGCGCATGCGTGGTGGGTCTTTATTTGTTTATTTTACAGTTATTAATGCGCATGCTCAAAGCCAGCATGTTGCAACGCATTAATTACAAAAACCTAATTACTCTATGAACTAAAGTTATCTGAGAGGTGATGAAACAGGTTTTAAACTTGTGGTTTTTCATCTTTGTCCAGGAGAGTTTTAGCAGATGGACTTCTTTTATAAGCTGCACAAATACGTTTGGGATTTTGTTGATTATTTTGTCACAGTCACTTTGTGTACAAATTATATTGTATTTATTAATAAAGTCTTCAAATGCTACATATTGCCATTATCATCCATTAAATGAGTAACTTACCATTTATTTGTTTTCATTCAGTCTTCWATAAACACAGTAAAACAACTCTGTTGTTCCACATAGGCGCATTATAAGAACTAAATTATGTTTGTATACCAATTTCCAGTTTAACAGCACCTGTTGGTGAAAAGCAGATAATTTAATAGGTGATATGTCTTATTTCTCTTTTTATGGTTAGTAAACCTAGGACAAGTTCCTTCTGATAATGAAACACAACTGTTAATATCTGTATACAACATTTTAATTATACCTAAGTCATTTTCACCAAAGCCAAACGTTTCAAAAATGAAAGCATTTCCCAAGGCTTTCTGGGTGATGTAGTTCACAGAACCGGAAGTGTGAATGAAAAAGGTCAGAAGAGACGCAGACATTTGAACCAATCAGATTTGACGTCGGACGCTCACGGCTCCACGCTCTCCTGGCGCTCCTCCCTCCCTCATCTTGCAGCTGCCGCTCGCGCKTCCAAAGAAACTTCGCTAGTTTCTGCTCTTTCTTTGAGAGGACMCAGACAGCTGGTGAGTAGCTCAAACCACATCTCAGCACAGCGGCTGAACGCCGTTTACCTTCGTATTTCCTCCTTTAAACTCAAGGCTTTGTGTTTCTCCGAGCAGCATGGCAACAGTACATTATTTATTAGTTCACTTCCCTTTACTGCTATCAAATCAAAAGCTGTCACTGCAGTGAGCTGCAGAAGTAAATGTTTTTTATAGCTTGTTAAAATGTAACCAGACAAATACGTTTCCACTGTGTAAATAAACTGAAACTTTTACAACATGTGACTTCTATCAGTAACAAGTGCATAAAGTCAATCAGAAAGTTGAGAATGTGTTGTTTTTATATCATGCGTGCATGAATGTAACCAGTGTGCAGAAATACTTTCTTCCCCCTTTCAYAACAGCCCTGTGTGACCCAGCAGCTCACAGTTAATAATCATGGTCCAGGCTAAGTCATGGACTCTGGCCAAACACTTTGACGGCTTTCCAAAGGATAGTGACTTTCATCTGAAGGTGGAGGAGCTTCCTGAGCCCAGAGATGGAGGTAAGATATAGTTGTAGTGATCTATCAGAAGATAATATGATTGTGTTAAATCTTAAAGTGTAAACTTTGTGGGGTTTTTTTTTCAGAGGTGCTTTTGGAATCGGTTTTTCTCAGTGTGGATCCATACATGAGGTAGGTGAAGAGTGGATTCAAAAACATGTTATAAAACTGTTCATATGTGTTTGTGGTCTCTCCAGGCCATACAGCAGGTCTCGCATGAAGGAGGGAGATGTGATGATTGGAACTCAAGTGGCAAAGTAAGAACCACAAACACACACACACACACACACACACAAATAAACATAAACAAGCTCTTTCATGTGTCATGATGCACTACACACATCTGGTATGTGTTATCAGTCACCAGAGGCTTTGATCCCTAAAAGCAGCGACGGACGTCAGAACAGTGTTCACACACGCGTCTGTTTTTGTGGGAAAGTTTGTTGAAATGTTGTTGTTTTTTTCAAACCCATGTGTTCCTCATTTTGTTTGAAGCTAGCCACGTTGTGTGTAAAGCATCTGCCTCCCAGCTGGTGTGCAGTAAACAAACAACTCAAACATCCTTTTAGAAATCGTCACAAACCTCAAAGCGTTTGTTGTTATTTTGTAAAACAGACCCGTATGTCTGATGTTTATCATTCTGCAGGCAGCTTTATAGAAAACTGGTCTTTTTCCATGAGCAATTCCAAATGTTTGGTATGAAAACAACGTTGATCTTTAAAGATGAATGTTAGTTGACAGTCGTTCTTCACTGACGCCACAGTGTGCCAGCTGTTTTCACCTCCATTCTGCTGGTTTTGTGTCTAATAATGGAAATCAGGAAGAGCTGCAAACAAAAGTTAACTAAGCCTGTGTGTTTTATAGAAAAAGAAAAATGTTTTAAAGCATTGCTTGTTTTTTGTGTGTGTGTGTGTGTGTGTGTGTGTGTGTGTGTGTGTGTGTGTGTGTGTGTGTGTG